CGATAATGGTCAATTTTCGCCTAAATGGCAGCCGTGCCTTCGTTGCCTGTGCAAATGTTTGTAAATAATGAAATCCCTTGGTGCGAAAATGGTAGTAGAAAAGTACGCAAAGTAGGCACTTAGTAGCGAAATTTCTTTGTAAATTTTAATGTATTTGCAAGAAGTTTGGCATTTTAAATGAAATATTGAAAGAAATATTAAGATATCTACGTGAGTTACGTAATTTATGTGCTATTTAGCGGTAAAAAAGACTGCACAAGTGATCATAATTAAAATAAAAACCACGAATTTGAAAATAATTTATGTTTTCATCAATAAGATATGCTTTATATGCATATAAAAATAGTAAAAATATTGTACAAAAATGTATAATTATATTTATTGTAGGTACACTTATTCAAGTAAACTTGCAAAGAAGCAACACGGTGCCACTGCAATGGGAGCGGTGCGAGAGAGACAACTTTCAGTCACCTGTGTGTGTGCGATAGCCAACGAAATTGCACAACAAAATGAAATGTCACAATAGCAGGCGAGGGAGCACGTGGAAAACTTCGGTGCTGTTAGACTGCGTTTATACACGGAAACTTTTGTCGACGAGATTTTTCACATTCCCTTTTGGTGTTGCTCATTTCATTTATACACGACGATTTTTGTGTATGCAATTGTTGTTGTCAGCTGTGAACCGCTAACTCAATTTACACAGACGAACGAGAGCACAAAGCGTGTTGCCCGAGCACGAGCAACTCGGTGCCACTCTTCTCGTCACGCTCTCTCCAACAAACGTCGAGTTGCGGCAACAAAAATCGCCGTGTGTAAATGAGCACTTAGAGTGCTGCTAAAATTGTTCAGCTGTGCTTCATTATTCTTACACCTACACAGTGAAAATTTTACCCTTTATTCGTATACAATTAGGCCCTGAATATTGCTTGGCGGTAATAAGGAGTGAACATAAAAATGAAAGCTGAAACAGCATAAAAAAAGCTTACGTTAATTGCAAATTATAAAATAAATATAAATTTTAAGAATTTCAGCAACACACAAAAATAGAGCTTTCGCACGAGCGTTTGTTTGGTTTTTCAACTGTCAAAATTTTACTTTGCATTTGGCTCAGCAAAATTCAATTTATTTGTACACCTTATACTAGGTTCACATATAAGTAGATCACCCTCATTTTCGAGCTTAACACCCTAATCTGTAATTATAACAAGAGATTAGCCATATAAAATTCGTCCCTTGTTAATCTGTAATTATAAAATAATCTCAGATTTAACCGATGACTTTTCGGTGTCCATCCTAGTTTTTATCGATTGTTTTTGCGAAAGAGAGGAGAAATGCCAAATGTAAAAGTAAACAAAAATGAACGCTAGCAAGTAAAAGAGGTTTGTAAAGGTATTTTTAATAAAATGTTAAGTTAAAATATATTTATATTGCTTATTATAGCAGAAAAACGTGATCACGGCGGCACAGAGAAGAAACATAATTTTCCTTGAGATGTGAGAATATCAAGCACAACAAATTTGACGGCTAATAATCAGAGATTTGCCTGTGTAAACGGGGTGATTAAAAAACGAGCTTTGATTGAGATAATATTGATATGTGAACATAGTTTTAGCAAATTTTTCCACCCCGTCTCACCACGGAGAAAAAAGTTACCGATTGGCACAGGCCCTTACTAACGTATTACGGTTTTCGCCGCGATGTAAAGAACCAAGGTGGCGCATTGAGTGGACCGCTACTTTAATTTTTACAATTTTCAAGTTAAAGTAAACAACGCCTCAGAAAGTAAACGAAACTTTCAGTAAGTGGTTGTCGACCTAAAACTTGTGTTTTCGTCAATGTTATACTAGGTTCACATATAAGTAGATTATCCTCATTTTCGAGCTTAACACCCTAATCTGTAATTATAACAAGAGATTAGCCATATAAAATTCGCCCCTTGTTAATCTGTAATTATAAAATAATCTCAGATTTAACCGATAACTTTTCGGTGTCCATCCTAGTTTTATCGATTGTTTTTGCGAAAAAGAGGAGAAATGCCAAATGTAAAAGTAAACAAAAATGGACGCTAGCAAGGAAAAGAGGTTTGTAAGGGTATTTTTAATAAAATGTTAAGTTAAAATATATTTATGTTGCTTATTATTGCAGAAAAACGTGATCACGGTGGCACAGAGAAGAAACATAACTTTTCCTTGAGATGTGAGAATAACAAGCACAACAAATTTGACGGCTAATAATCTGAGATTTGCCTGTGTAAACGGGGTGATTAAAAAACGAGCTTTGATTGAGATAATATTGATATGTGAACATAGTTTAAGATCTGCCAAACGAAAACAAGTTTTCGCTGAAAACCACTTGAAAACTCACGTTCCACTCATTCCAATGCACTACTTCTTCTTCGATTATTTATCGAAGTGGAAGTCATATTTTATCATCTTTAATACGCCATTATTTATTTATTTATTGTTAATTGGCTGACCAAAATAAAATAAGCATGGAAGTAAAAGGTTGTCAATGAAAAGAAATTGAAGGAAAAGTATTTTCGTTTTGTATTTGTGCAGCAAAACTGTAAACAATGGATGCAAGAAATTACAACGAAAACACCAACAGTCGGTGTGAACAGCCAACAGCCCACAATCCCAAACTCGTTTTCAAGGTGTTTTCGTTGTCGGTCAGAACATTGTATAATTGTACAAAAACTCACTGGGCCTCCGCACACTGGACTGCTCAGTCCGCCTAAAACCGGTTTTGTGTGGATAAGAGGGGGAAGAGAGTTCGAGTTTACCTCGCTCTTTTCAGTCCGCGAAAATCGCGGATTGACGGTGGACTGACACGCACACATAGACAACATATTTTCTATTTCGTTTTGTTGGCATGTGCCACATGGACTAACACAATCATGCGTAGTTCATGTATAAAAAACTGAAACCTGTTTTCGGGCGACTGCCCAGTCCAGTGTGCGTTCGAGTGATGGACTGCTCAGTCCGACTGAGCAGGCTAGTGTGTTCAGGCCCCCTGAATTTTAGTCGTTGAGTAAAAACTCAACTCGGTATACACTACATTTTCTCACAGTTACAGAATAGAGCCCCTGGATTATGTAGCTGTGAATTTTAAGGTTACACTGAAAGTGGTGTACACTCTTTATTTTGCGATTCAAGAAGTGTGAGAATGAGTTTTAAATGTTAAAATTATGTACACTTATTTTATATTTATAAACCGAATAAAGACATTTGGGTACAGTTCCGTCGCGCTGGGATTTACTGCGTTGCGGCAGTTGGCCGCCCTCCTAGTTACCTCCTTCAGGTAACATTGAGTCAGATTAAAAAGGGCTTTCAGAAAACGTCCGTCAACTAAAAGTGTCACAGCATCTGCAAGTCGATCACCCGACAACCCACTTTTTCCAGTTCCTCTAGGGAGCAGGGGAGAGGCAAAACCACCTTGCGGAATGCCGCTTTAACTCTACGCTGAGTGCAG